GTTGTTTGGCGGGTCCGGGCTGGGGATTCGAGCCCGCCACCTTAGGTGTACGTGGCTGGCGCCTTAGCCGGTTGAGCTATAGGCGCTGAGCCTTGAAGGATTCTTAATAAAATAAAAGTTAAGAACAAGGACAAATGAGAAAACTTTTCTGCCTCACGCACATATATACACATACACACAAAACACTACCTCTGGGGTGAAGGTGAAGTTCTGGGAAGCTTGCTTTAAGATCTCCACTGCTTCAGTATACGAAATGCTGGAGGCAAAGAGGGTAAAAGCAGAGAAAGGTCAATATCACAAGCTGCTGTTAAACTAGTCCATCTTAAACTAGAAAAAATCTATTCTCATATCATCTGCAAGGTTATAAAGGAGTAATGAATAGTCAGAAATTGAGGCTGATCTAACCCTATGAAGAGAAGTGGCTGTTCAATAACCCCGCTCCTGATCAAAGTGCAATGTACATAAAGGAACCAGTCATTAAGTAGGGTTTTTCTCTGAATTCATGCTGTGCCCTTGGTATGAATTAAGGTTGAAAGAACAAAAGACTTTCCTCTCAGTCATCATTTAATTTATCTAACAAACATTTACTTGGCACTTACTAGGTGCTAGGCACCATTTTAGGCACTCCTGATACAGTAAACAAAAATAAAGCTCTTTTTCATGGAGCCAATACTCCTCTGTGTGTGTGTGTGTGTGTGTGTGAGAGAGAGAGAGAGAGATGGAGTAGGGAGGGGAGAGACAGATAAATAGGTGACTATCAGTGTTACGAAGAAAAAATAAAGCAGTCTGAAGACAGAAGGTGTTGAGGGTACCATTTTAGATAAAGAAAGGCCTCCCTGAATTGATGACATCTGAACAGAAACCTGCATCCAGTCAGGCAATGAACCACACAGGTGTAATGGAAGGCGTATTCCAGGTGAAATGAGCAGTAAGTACAAGGACCCAAAGTGAGGAACAGTTCAGTTTGCTCAAGGAACCTAAAGGTCCGTGGGACTGGAGTGTACTGAGCAAGGGGAGGAATGCCAGATTACACAGGAAAGTCAGTCAGGAAAGGCAGTCAGAAGTTGGATCATATAGACTTTTTCAGGCCACAGTATAGGTTTAGTGAATTAGAAGGCCGGCTCGGCGCCTGTGGCTCAAGTGGCTAAGGCGCCAGCCACATACACCTAAGGTGGCGGGTTCGAATCCCCAGCCTGGGCCCACCAAACAACAATGATGGCTGCAACGGCCAGGCGTTGTGGTGGGTGCCTGTGGTCCCAGCTACTTGGGAGGCTGAGGCAGGAGACTCGCTTGAGCCCAGGAGTTGGAGGTTGCTGTGAGCGTGATGCCATGGCACTCTACCCAGGAGGATAGCTTGAGGCTCCGTCTCAAAAAAAAAAAAAAAAAGAATTAGAAGGCCAGGAGTGTTGGCTCACACCTGTAATCCTAACACTCTGGGAGGCCAAGGAGGGTGGATCCTTCGAGTTCAGGAGTTGGACACCAGCCTGACCAAGAGTGAGACCATGTCTCTACTAAAACCAGAAAAACTAGCAGAGTGTCGTGGTGGGTGCCTGTAGTCCTGGCTACTGGGGAGACTGAGGCAAGATCAGCTGAACCAAAGAGATTGAGGTTGCTATAAGCTATGGTGATGTCACAGCTCTCTGCCTGGATAACAGAGGAAACTTTGTCTCAAAAAAATAAAAAATAAAAACATTTAAAGAAAGACTCTTTAAGAAAAGTATTATTGCTTCTCTCAATAATGTACCCTCACACCCAAAGTAAGCCAAACTAAGAATTTGTTTTAACTGTGTGAAGAGGTAATATATAACACAGATTAAAAAAATCAAGATGAATCAAAGAATACACATCCCCTTTCATCTTGGTCCTATGCCACCCAGTTCCTCTCCTTTACACAATCACGGGTACTGCTTTCTTGAATATCCTTTCAGAGGAATGAATATATATATAGTCACATATATGTGTATATACATGTACATCTGTATATATGTATATTCATATATAGAGATATATATGTAAGCAAGTATTAATATACAACTTCCCTTCTTTTTTATAAATGTCAGCCATAACATATATACTATATACATTCTTTTCTGCCTTACTTTACTTGGTAATATATCTTTCAGATTTTTCTATGAATATATAGTATATAAAAAATTTCTCCATTTTTCTGCATTACCTAATATTCCATTTTGTGGCTGTGTCATATTTAGTATAGCCAAATGATTTTATATTTCATATTTCTAATCTTGCTACTACAAATCATGACCACATGTACCTAATTAATGCTACTACAAATAATTCTTATACACTAATTTTATCCATGAAAAGTAAAATTGTTGGGATCAATAATTTGCAACCTTTATATTTTCTGCAAGATTTTGTCAAAGATATTACTCCTTTTTTAATAGGGTTATGCCAATTTATGCCTACCAGTAACATATGAAAATGTCAGTTTCCTTGTAAACTGCAGGGAAAATACTGTGATGGTATTTTGGATGATTAAAAAAAAGTAGTCGGAGTGGTGGGCAATGCCTGTGGCTCAAAGGAGTAGGGTGCCAGCCCCATGTACC